TCAGATTTGACTAATTTTCAACATAATGATTTTTGTGCTTATACTTAGTCTTCGACTTCAGCATACTTCAGTAAAAATGAGTTGAAAATCATGAAATAGAAGCGCTAAGAATATGCCAGTACTAATGGAAATTCTATCAAAAGGTCTAATTATTGAGTTCAACTACCTGCATTTCTTTCATGTATGAGAGAAATCGTAAATTTGTTGAAAAAAATTCCTTCCTCTGATCTTGACGTCTGATAAATATATTGGAATGACATTTTCACAAAGAATAGCAGAGTTTTCTATCTAAGTGATAGATGTGCGACTGAGACAAAAAGGTGTATTCTTCACGGTTGCAACGAGCGACATTAAAAAGAAGCTGAATTGATCATATTTCCCAAAAATCTGTTAAAATGGTGTATCTGACTAGCATTCAATGAGATACAGAAACGGTGAAGAAATGAGACAGATCCGTCAAAACCTAAGAGAATTTGACCAATAGCCAAGGTCCTTTTTTATCAAGTATTGTGTATCATGAAATGTCTATTGCGATCTCTGAATCTAGATTATCTTTCTGCGGGTATTGTTCAGTTTTCTCATTATATACTTTAACATTCCTTGACGGTTGTGTTTAAGATAACTCATTGTTTCAGTTTTTGGATTAAATATGGCTTCGAGCACTGTTGAAAGCTTGAATATCATAATTAATAAATGGAAAATACTGCATATTGTTCAGTGTTGTTGTTCTTTCGAATGAAAAGTAATTCAAAACAAAGACTCAATTAATGATGAAAAATAAGACGAAAGAGAGCGTAGTTTATTTTCAGAAATCAGTAAAAGTTAGGTTTTAAGCGAAAGGTCATATGTCCTTCAAAAAGCACTTTTTTCGTCTAAAACATTGGCCACTAAAGATTCTCCACACTATTTATCGAATGAATATAACGAAATGAAAACTTCAAAATTGATAATATTATGATTCTCTGATCGGATGCGGACTTTTCTCATGGATCCTCTAGTAACAAGAATAACTTCTCATCGCCGGAATGATCATTCAGCAATAGATAAAAAAATGACAACAGCAAAGACAGTTACTACAGTATTTTCATTTATAAGAGTTTATGATCAGTTCTTGACTTAATTTCTTCAACACTTTTCAGCATCGGAGCACCTATATCAGGATTTTCTACTGCCTCTGTATCTCTTCGATATCTTTCAGTATCTCAGCATCTTTTTGACGCAGAAAAGATGCTGAGCTGTCGTGATTCTTTCGTTCGATGAGAACATGATCATATATTTTTGTTTTTTCAAAAGCAACGTACCAATTGTAGTGGGTCTTCTAGTTAAAACGATAGGTACAACAATGGCTGTTGTCACAATGCATACCCCAAAAATAACCGCAAGGATGATAAAAACAAAACGTCTAAACATAAAGTGATACAATCATGTATACAATGAACTATTTACTGATAGGAACCTCTTTTTGGTGTTTGTCGGAAGAGTTGATGGTTGCGACTCACTCGCGGGCATATTTCCTTGTCTCTGCTTTTTCTACAAATGACATCCATTCATTTCAACATGCAATATTTAAGTAAGAAAGCATGGAAAAATATATCCTAGACAAACATTTTTATCATGTGTTTGCACAATTGCATGCTTCAACATGTTTCCTGATATTCGGATATTCTTATCCATTGGAAAGTGTTTGAGCGCATGCCTGCGTTGTGTGCAAGGTTCAAGTAATTCATTTCCGCTGAAATTATTTTGAATGGTCGATGGTAATATAAATGTCATTTATCTTTTGCTGGCGTCATACACTGGCACCATGAAACGTGTTTCATGTAGAACATGTCAGAACGCTTTTCATTAATAAGTTCCTTTTTAAGCGAGAAAATACATCGATTATAATTCCACAGAAGGATTAATTCTCAATATGCTATTTTTGTAAATTTAATAAAACAACGTATTAATTAGTTGGAAGAAACAGATCCCTGTGACAAGAGGTAGACTGATAGTCACCAATATTAAATCAAAAGTTGCTCACAAATAATTTTCAAATGAAATATAAAAGTCAAGATCGTTGCAAAATGCTCATCACATCAAAAATTCACTATGAGAAGGGCTTATCTACCAGAGATGGGCAAATCCACTCATGTTCGGTTCCAGCTTTATTTCAGCACCAAGCATTGATATACTTTTTAATGTTTGAAGTTTGACAAGTATAGCACGATAATCAATGATTAATTATAATAAATGCTTCTGAAATTTAATTTGTATTTGCTAGTATAATCGAAAATACAACTTTTTTCTTTACAAACTAGTAATAGAAAATATAATAAAATTTTTTAATGATTTTTGGTAAACAATTTTCTTAGGAACAACGAAGATAAATTTTTATTAGCCAAAATAGACTGAATAAAATTGTGTTCCATATGCAATTCGTTGTCTTTTTTTATATTTATTGAAAGAATAAGGAAGAAACATATCTATCAATATTTATCTTCAGGCGAGCTTTTTTGTTCAAATCTATGTAGACCTACGCATGCTGACAATCATTATTTGTCTATATATTTCATGATATTGTCAAGAATGATAGTATAGATCAAGAAAGCAGTCACAGGCAAAGGTAGACAAAGAATACTACCAAATTGTCAAAAATCGTCGAATGTACACTGAGCCATATTGATCAACATGTATATTCATTGTGTCAAAGTACTACCAATATATTTTTTTGTTCTTATTGGGCAAACTGGCATCAGTATGCGCAATATCATCAGATTAAAGGCCAAGAAAAAAGATCACGTTTGTGTTTTTTTTTCATAATGGAAGTTGTTGTAATTAATGTTTTCTTTTCCTTTATGAATATCTGTCACACCATATGTGCAGTATATATCAGATGAAAATGGATTAATCAACCAATTCAAGAATATTTTTCCTAGTGTCCATGAAGGTGAAGATACTGAATACTACACAATCGTATAAAAAAAAGGCTAAAAGATTACAACTTGTCGAAACTAATTTAAAAATAACTGCAAAAGATTTTTATTAATTCCTATTCAATGTAGATGCTGCTAATAACAAGCATTAAGATTTCGTAAAAAAAATATGAATCATGTTCAAATCTTTGCATATAGATCAAAAGTAAGATTAGAAAGAAAACTGCCCTCAAACGACAATTTTAATATAATCAATTCTTTTCTACTCTGTTGAGATCGTCATTTATGTTATTAAACATTAATTACGTAAACACATGAGACTTCGGAATACTAAAACTATAGAATCCCAAAGAATACTCATTACTATGGCGTTAAAAAAATATTTGACAAATGTTTTGAATAAATTGAAATTCATGTTACTTCTGTTCTACTGATGATTTTGGTCTGGTTTTTATTTAAACAAAAAACGCACACGACGAACATATGAAATCATATAATCAACGTTTATCAATGAAAGCTAGATAAAAATCTTCTGCATATTCAACGTTTTGACCATTTGGTAAATTCTTCTATTTTGAAATCAATTCGATTTCAGCTTGAAAAAGTCATTAGTATTAGTCTATTCACGTGACATGATTTTGCCTAATTTAGTCGAAATATTAACGAATGTGAAGGTAAATTTTCTATTGATTTAATGAAATACATCATGGTAATGATTTATGTAGATATCGGCCAAATTTGATGACATCATATTAGCTGAATAAAATACTATCAATGGCTTTTCAATCCGAAAAGCAAATATGTATCAAAACAATACAATTCATCAAATGTTCCAAAAGTCCAATCTATGTAGGAATTTTTTGTCAAATTTTCGTCGATAAAGTGCATGACAAAGATTAAGAAACAAATGCAGTGTTACAACTAAAAAGAAGAATTTATCAGAAATTGTAACAAATTTATATTAATATTGTCTACACAATAAAAAAGAGCTTTTGAATAAAGTTAAGAAAAATTCAAGAGAAACAGTCATTTTTGATTCTTTGATTATATGATTTCATATATTATCGTGAGTGTTTTTCGTGTAAATAAAAACCAGACAAGCATTATGAGTAGAACAGATGTAAAATGAATTTTCATACTTTTCGAACATCCATTATATTCACGTTTAAGATATGGTTATTCTTATAATCATGCCTTTCACTGTACTGATTAAATATGCAGGATAAACCGTTTCCAGATGTGAAAAGTAATTGGATATGTAGCTGCTAACAAGTTTTATCTAAACTCAAGTTCTTATGATATGGCATAGATGACTGCATTTCTAAAATATCATTTTTCGTTGTTATCAGGGGGTGAGTGTGGGTAGGGATGTGGATGGGGGTGGGGACGAATGCAAGACGCACACGCACACCCACCCCACACACCAAATTGGGTGAGAAAAATAATCTAATGAGCAATAGTCGCTACAACTGCGAAAAATTCAAGCATCAAAAAGTAAACATTAATTAGTGCATGGCTCATTGCATCCCGAAAACAACTGAATTCCCATGTCACCTGTGACGTCTATTTGAACATCAGTCACCAGCTTCTCTTGCATAAAAAAACAATAAGAATAACAAGAGATAGTGTTTATTTCATAATATGTATTTTTCTGAGATAGTTATTGCTGCCAACTAAAGCAGCGTCCGACATCTGTTGTTGTGTATATTCCCATTTCTAATAACCAATTACGTTTTCTTTCGTTCTTCTTTTCTCTCTCACTATATTTAATACGCATGACTATTCATCATAAATACCTGCTGATTTCGACCTTGCACAATCGGTGCTTCTACACGATCACACACCCTCATTGTTTCAACATGTATGAGAAGGGAAAGGAAAGGAAAAAAACGTAATTGGGTCATTCTCTCTATCGATTGAAATATTGCGATCAAAGATGTCGTATGATTATATAAGAATTTAGAAAACAGCTGGAGCGAAATTGTTCTAATAGAATAAAAAGAAAATGTTTCAAAGGTCAATTAATTAATTAATAAAAACTGTTGATATAAAAGATATGGTGAAGGGAAAGAATTTTACTCAAACATGGATATCGCATTACTCCAATCTCTTGATAATCTTGGCTTTCGTGAATGGTGTGAATTAACTAGTAGCACTAAAAAATGTATTGACTTTTGTCAAAACGTCGGCTTAACTGGTTTCACTCTAAATGGACCTTGTGCACAAGGTCATAATAATTGGAAACTAGGTTTTTCTGCACGAGCATCTGATGAATATGTATGGAGATGCGGAAAATGTAAAAGTACAAGAACTCTTCGACAAGGAACGTTTTTCTCTAATTCGAAGCTTTCACTTCGTCAGGTTCTTGATCTTACGTACTTCTGGTCGCAACAAATCGATTCGTATACATTTTTAAGGCGTCATTGTAAGTTTGCGAGCGAATCAACCATAGTTGATTGGAAGAATTTTGCTCGAGATTTGTGCGATGAGTACTTTTTGAGACATCCAGTGGTCATTGGAGGACCCGGGCAGATTGTCGAAATAAATGAGAGTGCCTGGACAAAAAGAAAGCACAATCGGGGACGTGTTGTTTCCAATCAGTGGGTTTTTGGCGGTATCGACAGAGATACGCGCGAATGTTTTGCAGTTTTAGTTGATCAGCGCGACGCTGCAACACTTCTACCAATCATCTACGAATATATTCGTCCAGGCACTACTATCTACAGTGATCAATGGGCCGTCTACAACGGCATTGCTAATGGGCCAGGTCCTCATCGGTACAACCATCAAACGGTCAATCACTCCGAAAATTTCGTTGATCCAACAACTTCAACGCACACTCAGAATATTGAGAATTTATGGATGTGCATGAAGAGAAAAAAGAAGGCCCCAATGGGTCAACATGTTACTCTTCTCGGAACTCATCTGATTGAGTTTATGTGGCGTCAGCGTTTTGGAGATCATCCATTTGAAAATCTTGTTCGTGCTATTCAAGAAAAATATGTTGTACAGTAGATTGTCTGGTGTTCTCTTTTTTTTTCTCAAATAAATTCTTATATAGTCATACGACATCTTTGATCGCAATATTTCAATCGATACAGAGAATGACCCAATTACTTTTTTTTCCTTTCCTTTCCCTTCTCATATATGTTGGAACAATGAGGGTGTGTGTATCGTGTAGAAGCACCCATTAATGTATATTCAGTACCGCTTACCAACGATCATCTCGGAAAATTGGCATGATTCAGAAAATTCATTTGGATAAAAAACTTTATATTTATTGAAAAATACGAACAAAGTATATGAGACACTCTTTAAAGTCTTCTGCTTCCAGCTCCCTCTTCAGTGCAGTTTTTCATATTCGTTTGATGATTCATAGTAGTAGTAGATTATGGTGTTTGTATTGTTGATAACACTGGGAAGTTTTAGATCGAATGCACAAGATCAATTAAGATTGACGAAAAAGTTTGATTTAAGATGAAGGTTATAAGATGAGAAAGATGGCGTATTTGTGGGGAAGTCGAAAAGTTGGTCGAGTGCTAGGGGGTTCAACTATGGAGGCGCGATTGTTAGTATTTTTTGTCACAAAAGTTGAGCAGCACGCTGTAAGAAGGATTACATAAATTTTCACCAACTTCATCAAAAATGTTATAAAAATTTGTTTAGAGGCTTTGGATAGCACTGATCAAGATGGAAGTGTCAAATGACTAACTGAAATTTTGTGACGCAACAAGATGAGCATGATAAAGGTTATAACGTAGATTGTCAACCCACGAGACTCATGGAGACACGACGTCATTTTTGAGTTTACTTATCTTGACCAAATTTTTATCGGTGTCTCCCATACTTGATCGACTTCTAAGGCTCTATTAAGTGTGAGAGTTTATACATCGATCGTGAATTTCTTAAAAGCTGGCATCCCACTCCGCCTCTTTTTCCTCTTTTTTTTTTTAAATTCCTCTTTTTACCCTCTTTTTCCTCTTTTCTCACGAAAAAGTAGCTTGTTGGCGAAAACATCCATCAATATATATTGATTAATATTACCATATCATACGAAAAGATCACATAATACAAACTGATGTGCCGATCAGTCGAGGTATATAGCTATAAGGAGGGTAAATTGTATGATTTTAGTAATCAACTTCAGTGATGTTATATATTCCTAATTGGAACCCAATTTTTATAGCTCTCTAGTGGAGGCAAAATCAGTCAATTATATCTCCAATGTGAACTCATCATTCTCTCACAATCTTGGCAAGTTTTTCTGGTAAAGATCGACATGTAAAATGATAATATCGGCTTACTTTTCTTGACCATTTTTCTCAGCCCCAGGAAAGCTTGTGATATGAATCTAACAATGGATAGCTAACTCGTAGCGTGACGCATGCGTCAAAATAAGAAGAAGTTTCCAGGGTGGCTAGATCTATCCTAGAATCCCGTCAGATTCGATAGGATTTCTTCCACAAGATAGCTTCTGGTAGTATGAAGTCACAAGTTGAAGATTTCTGCTTATCAGATACCGATACAAGTTTTCATGTTGCATCTGGCGATATCTGATCCTTCAAAATTATTGGGTTGATTACAGATGCCGTGGCATGTTGCTAGAGTACCGTACGCTATTGATTTACTGTCAAAATGAAGTAATCCTTCTCTCTCCGAGTTTCTCCGTATACAATCACATTTTGGACGATCGTATATCTCTAAACCATACACGGAGAAATATAATCGTATATGACGAAATACAGAGTAAAACGAAAGCCGTAGACGAGCTTTGTTTATCCATAAACGATCGTATTTCTGCGCATACAATCACGGAGCTATACGATCGCAATACTGGGCAACGTGAAACGACGTATTTCTCCGGTTACAAGCGTGTTTGCTTGGTAGGGGTTAATACTGACAACGGTTTGATGATACTTGGAAGTTGGATATGATGGAATGCGATAGCAATAAACAGGGACGCCCCACTGACCAAAAAGCAGAGGATCATACAATCTACCCAATACAAATAAGTCGTTTTCTACAGAACGCAGGCAGATGACCATATTTCACTGGGAGAAATCAAGCGTTTTCGATAGCACGGAGTCAAACGATTTCTCACAAACCCACTGTCTGGGCACCATTGCAACCAATGTATTAATTTACGCTAGGAAACGGAAAAGTGAAACTGACTTGCGAAAAATGATCAAAATTATGGAAGAATTGCTGAAAATTGAAAAAAACGAAAAAATATCTTTCTCACATGCACAGTCATCCGTAAGAAGGAACAAAAAGCAGAGAAAAAAACATTTAATGAATTCGGATCGTTTCTATTTCTGTGTGCCTACTTAGTCAGATAGAGTAATATTATAATCAGATACTACGCAAATAGAATAGTCTATTTTTCTAGTGTTTTCCCGTTTTCTAATGCATATATAAGCAATTGCACAAAAATCTCTATGAACAATTGGAAGTTGCGTTGCTTTTTTGCTATTTCAAGTCAT